TATATATATATATATGTGTGTGTGTGTGTGTGTGTGTGTGTTTATATTATATTTTGTACATAAAATCACAATTTTAAAATGTCCAGGTTATACATGAATGTGGGAATCCTGTAGTGATTGATACCAATGACAGTTTTAAGAATAATATTTAAATATTGTAAATTAAGCGTTGCATTGTATACGGACTGGCCAGTGCTGTCGCTCACCTTCAGTTGTTCTGTCTCATCTGAGAGTTGCTCCATTTTATTTTTCACATCTTTATATTTCTGATTAATACTTGTAAGCACTCTCTCATGTTCCTTTAACTCATCCTGAGCCTCTTTCACGTTTCTCCTCTCCGATTCGATCTTCTGTTCATTTTCTTGTGCATCTTCTTCCTGTACATTTGACAAATCGCCTATTATTCTGTGTCACACAACAATAAGCGTCAATGTTTTTGCCTGGTAAAATGCATAGAGACCTCACCAGGGAGCTGATGTCTTCAGCCTGCGCCTCTTCAATGTTCTCAAGTTCTGTGATGGAAGCTTTAACCTTATTTATACTTTCCTAAAAACGGAAAATTAAAGCCAGCATCAAGTATGCAGATGTTTGGACACAAATAACGACTGAACGTGGATGGCATAATGGTGTAGCCTGTGCAGTTCAATACCTGATTCTTTTTGCAGGCCATGATGACACTACGCAGCTTCTCCTCCATGAACTGAATGTCCTCCTTCACAGAGCTCAAGTGAAGCTGGAACCGTGAAAGCTGAGCCTGGCTGTTCTCCAGCTCTGACTCCACTAGACTGTAAATCAGTAGAGAAGAACATAATTGCCTCGGATCATGCCATAAACAACTGGGCTTGTAATTGAAAAATAGTAGGTTCAAACTCCACAAGGGTTTGCATGAACTATCACCACTGTGCCATGAGTAAAATCTTTAACTTTAACTTGCTCAAGGTACAATCGGTGACAAATTACTTGATGAAAGAGTATTATTCAGTATTTGTGCAGATCACACTTGCCGTATTTCTGCCTCTGGGTCTCCACCAAGATATTTGACCAGTACTTCATGTTCAGGTGTGTAATAGCGATGGCTGAAGACCTGATCACCATCTGCAGTGAAGGCCTCACGGCAATTCTTCGGGGGTCTCGACTCCTGCATGACTTTCCTTGCACGAGCTTTCTCCTGTTTTAAAAAAAAACAATAACAAATGACATATGTAATATAGCAATAGTATCTAAAAAATAAATATGTGGATAGATTGTGAAATATTATTCCATTTTAAAATAATGGTCTTTAATTTTAATATACCTTAAACTATAATTTCCACCCACGGCGCCTTCATTTTTGATTTAGCAAGCACACAACAATGTACCAGTTTGAATGCCATGGCGAAAGTTTGAGCGAAGCACGCTAACTGTTCTGTCTTCGGCTGCACAGAACACTATTTAGAGTCCCAGCCTCAGAGGAGACAACAGAGCAGTGGATTTATTATTGATGTATTTACTGTATATTGCTGCTGCCACACTCAAAATAGGCATTTTCAAAATGATATAATAAATGATCTGTGGAGTATTTTGAGCTGAAACTTCACAGACACATTCTGGGGACACCAGAGACTTATATTACATACTGTAAAAAGGGGCAAAATATGTCTCCTTTAAAGGGGTCATGTCACACATTTTAGCATGAAAATCTTTATCACATTTTACGTCTTCTGGAATTATGGAACAGTCGGTTTTGCAACTTGGAATGTATTCATAATACAAAATATTCTCTAAATCACAAAAGACAAAGGAAACATTATGACACAAATAACAAGTGGAGATTTTTCACATTTTAGGTCAATTTCAAGCCATGCCAACGCAACATATTAAAGCCATTATGTTTATGGCAAAGCAGGGTTGAATACACCTTGTGTCCCTCCACTTTCCTGTCTTCCTCTTCACTGTCCAGTCAAGTCCAATAAAAAAAAATAAAGTTGCCAGACTTTACCTCAGTTTATCATATTCCTCTCTTCCTTTAAGCAGAGCTTGTTGTTTGTCCTTAACCTCTTGATTCAGAGCGCTGGACTCTTTCTCAAGCTTTTCCAGCTGCTTTTTGAAGGCAGATATTTTTTTTAGGTGCTGTGCTTGCTCAGTCTCATGGCTTCTTCTGCCACTGCTAAAAATGTCATCAAATTAGTCAATTACTTTAACTACATGTTCAACTAAGTCTTTAAACAAATGCCAACTAAGAAATGGTTTGAAAAAATACTTTAAAAAATTAGAGGTCTTCCCTCAACAAATGGACTCACCCATTACTTATTTTGTGAATTCGCTCCTGAAGAAGGCATTGCTCCTTTTCTAATTGTTTCAATTTATTCTCAGCGCGGAAGTAAACCACCTGAAAAACTGGCATTCTAAAAATCTATACAAACTCTTTAGAAATCAACAAGGACCCTGTTTATAAACTTAAAGCAGTAGTTAACCCAGAAATTAAAATTCTCCATCAGGTCTTTCCAAACCCATATGATTTTCTTGCTTCCATGCAACACAAAATTAGATGGTTCATACTGCTCTTTTCCATTCAAAGATAGTGAATGACTGGAGCTGACAAACAATCTGCATAAAATTTGTAAGCAGACAGCCTCTGGCCACTCAATGCTTTCACTGCATGGGAAAGAGGAGCACAAACGCTCTTCAAAACGTCTCTTTATGTATTCCACAGAAGAACGAATTTTCATTTTTGGGTGACATATTCCTTTAAGAATAATAAAATACTACATCAGCCAAATGTTGCTCACATGTAAATGTTGAAACACTCCTCCTAACTGTAGAGAGATGCATGTCTTCATTTAAAATGAATATTAAAGAGATGTACACGTGTGAACATGTGTCTTCTAAAACTAACAGAAAGAAAAAACAAAGACCTCACCTCCTGATTTTTCTGTGCTTTCGTTTTGACTTTAATTTCTTCCTTCATCTTACAGCCCTCCTCTGCCAAACACTCCTGCTCTTCTCTAAGAGTGCAAAGCTTCTTCTGAATGTCCTGCAATCTCTTTTCAGCAGCCGTGACTTTGTTCTTAAAAGCAAAGAGAAATAATTTTTACAGTCAAATGCCTACTAACGTTATGTCTGGAGGACATATGATGTTTAACCAATACTAAAAACTATGAATGACATTCTGTTAAAATTCTGTGTTGTTCTGTTAAAAACTTTCCTGTTTACACTACCAGTCAAAAGTTTGTAATAATTATGATTTTTTTAATGTTTTTGAAAAATGTCTGCTTGTCCAAATCAGCATATTAGAATGATTTGTGACACTGAAGACTGGTGTAATGATGCTGAAAAATCAGCTTTGCATCACAGGAATAAATTACATTTTAAAATCTATTCAAACAGAAAACATGCCTTTTGAATTGTAATAATATTTCATAATATTACTGTTTTTGCTGTGTTTTTGATCAAATAAACGCAGCCTTGGTGAGCAGATGAGACTTCATTCAAAAACATACCCCCCCACCAAAACATAGTTTTAAAATAACATAATAAAACATAGTTCTGCCAGTAAAAGTCCAGATCAATACAGCTGATCACACAAACCTGACAGAGTTGCAGCTTTTCTTCCCGTTTACAGTCAGACTCTTCTTTTTCAATTTGTTCGATCAGTTGTTCAACGTGCCTCTCATTCTCTCTCACCTACAACCAACAAACAGAGACACCACTTAACAGAGACTCTCTAATGCAAGCCACTTTTCACACTTCTGTTAAGACACACTAGAATAACTTACCAAACACCATGCCATCTTCTTTTTCAGGTCCTCCAGAGTCTGTCTCATATTGTCGAGCGACGACAAGCATTCATATCTTTCTTTCTTTTGCAAAAACAACTGCCTGAGATCTTTAAGACACTAAAAATATAAAGACACTGGTCACATCGATGTGATGATAGTGGTGATTGCTGGTGCAAAACGTGCATTAAGTATGAGAAACGCTAATAAAGATGCTTGACTATGAATTCACAAATCACCTCTTCTTGTCTTTCCACTTGTTCGCGTGTCAAGGCTTTAGTCTGCTTGATGTGAATGTAGTCTCTTTTCATTTGCTCCAGAAGAGTTGCTTTCATGAAAAACTTTAGGACAAAAAAGATAGGAATAGTGTGAAAACGGTTAGCCATACAACACTGCTTCAGTTACTGATGGCATATGTGACCCTGGACCACAAAACCAGTCTTAAGGGTCAATTTCTCGAAATTGAACAACCTGTAATATGAAATTAATCCAGAATCAATAAATCAAGTACAGGTTTGCCTGGTTTGCTTTATACAAACATCAGGAATAAAACAACTAGATTTTAACTAAGATTTTAAAATAATTACTTCGCAAAAACTAAAAGATTGCACTTAAAAGCATGCAAGTCATATGAGCTGGTTTTTTTTATT